AAGTTTTTGTAGGTTTGGACAAAAAAGAAAAAGAAGAGTACTTATCTGAAAAAAACAAGAAAACGGAAAGATATGGTACCTATAAAGTTAAGGTATGATTCAAATTTTTATAATTAAAAAAAAGTACCATTTTTATGTGGCGACACATAATGCAACCTCGAAAAGGAATAAGGAAGAGAAAGTATGGGCTTTAATACAAATTACTAATAAAGTCAGGTCAGAGGTTGAACGTCAAGGAATCAAATGAGCAATAATACAGATCTAGAAAGGGATTAATTAGCTTCAAAAAGTCTTTCTTCCATTTCATTATGATGAATTTGAGAGATCACAGACTTTATATATTATGAAATGGTGCTTTGTTCCCACCTAAATAAAACAGTTACCACTACTTGGTTTGTTTAAAACCACTAATAATTTTTTTCTCTAATTAATTAATTACTAATGGAAAATTTTTAAAAGAGTGAATATTAATGTTGTATTTAGTCTGATGGTTAGAAAACAACTTATTACTAGGTTTCATTTGATTTGGCTAATAATTACAATCTATAACTTTTCTTTTCCTTAAGCAATTGATTAGGATATCTAAGAGATATTTTTACAAGCTTATTTAAAATTAGATAATTAACTAAGAACTAACTATTATTATAAGTAATTATTCTTAACTATCAAACCAAAAGCCAAATACCTTTATTTACCAATAAAAAAAAATGCCAAACAAAAACTTTATTAGAGACACACAAATAAAGACATGTTAGAGATAACTCTCGTGTCCAATCTAGATCTCTTTTGTTTTATCCCTTCTATTTTTTTGGTACAGTTTTATCCCTTCTTTGTTACATTAGACTTAAACTAAAAAATGATAGTAAAATGAAAGCAAAACCCTTTTTAAGCCCCAAACTTATCGTAAATTAACATTTAAGTCCATAAACTAAAAATAATGCAAATGAACCTTCTACCTCCTCGACTAGTGCAAATAAGCCGTTGATGACTAATGACACTAACTACCCAAATGGCTGGATTGACTTTGTTTGTTCCTTTCCTTTTCGTTTGTTTTAGATGCTAATGGAGGGATCTTTAGATT